CTAACACCTGAGCCGGGCTAAACAATGCAAGGGAGAGCCGCTGAGGTCGGTGATTGTAAGCGACGCTTCGCTCGGCAGAGGCACCTTCTCCTCTGCTCCCACGTTTTTCAAAGTGTCTCCGCGGTCATTGTCTTCCCGCGCCCCGCACCGCGCCGCGCGGCGGAGCCCCGCCGGGTTTGGGGGAGCATTCGGAGCCCTCCCCGCGGGTCCAAGACAAGCCCGTGGCCTGGGCGCCAAAGGCTGCTGCCGATGCAAGTCGCAACTTTTGAAACCAATCCCCTTTGCATCATGCAACGGATGCCACCGCTCCTCGCCTCTGCAACCCCCCACCCCTCCCCCGAGACCAATCATTGCCGCGCTCCGGCCTGCACGGCGCCCCCGCCCCCTTCCCGGGCCGCACGCCGCCACGGACACGCTCCGGCCGCGGCCCGCCGCCCCTTAAAGGGAGGGAGACGGCCCTTCGAGGCCCCTGGGGGCGGCGCACGGCGGAGCGCGGCGGCCCGTTCCCCGCAGGGGGCCCGCGGCGCCGGGCCGAGCCTTCGCGGTGCCCAGCGCGGCCCGGGCTCTCCCGCCCTCCGCCCTCCGCCGGGAGCGGCATTTCTATTCAGGCGACGCTTAAGGGAGCCCGGCGCGCCCGGTGCATTGTGGGAGCGGCGGCGGCCCGTTCTCGGGAGGAGGCGGAGGGCGCGAAGCGCACCGGTGAGTGCCCGGCTCGGGGAGGGGGGGCGCGACGCCAGGCTTAAAGGGGAATATCGGCCCGCAGGCCCCGGGCGGCCGTGCGGATCCCCCTCCGGGCCGCCCGGGCCGCCGGGAGCCGTGCACGGCGGCGCGCGCGAGCGCTGCCTGCAGAGGGGCCGCGCCGGGGCTTGGTGGGGCCGCTTTAAAAAAGAAGCGCCGCCCGCGCCGCCGCCGCCGCGCGGGCCGGGGAAGGAGGGAGGGAGAGGGCGGGGGAGGAGTGGAGGGGGAGGGCGGCGGCGGCGACGCAGGGGTTAATTTTTTCGCCCGCCGACATTTTTGTGCGGCGGCGGCGGCGGCCCGCGCGCGCGGCGGGAGAGCCTAGGCCGGTCCCCCGGCGCGGCGCCTCCCCGCCCCCCCTCCTCCCGCGTGCGCCCGCCGGCCCGCGGCGGCCGGCCTAACCTGGGCGCCCCGGCCGGGCGCGGGCGGCCCGCTGGCCGGGGTCCCCCCGGCCGGGGTCCCGCCGCGCGCGCTCCGCCGTGGCCAGTGGGCCGCGCGGTGCCCGCCGTCGCCGCGGCCGGGAGGACGGGGTGTGGGCATGGCGCCGCCTGCCCCGGCCGCGGCCAGCCCGCCGCGCCGCACAAAGAGCCCGGGCCCGGCCGGCCTTGCAGAGCAGCAGCCTGAGGTCCGAGGCGCCCCGGGGTTCCGCGCCCCGTGCTCCGGCGGCTCCCCTGTGTGCTTCGTGGCGAGCGCCCGGCCGGGGCGCCCCCGTCGCCGCGCCCCTCCGCTGTCGGGGTCCCGGGCGTAGGCCTGCAGGTAGGTGGGCGCCGGGCAGGGCCGCGCCCTCTCCCCGCCCTGCCGCGGCCCCTCAGCCGCGCCGCCCTTCTCCCGTCTGGTTGGGAGAAGTGTAAACGTGGCCCGGGAAGGGAAGAGTTAACCGTTACTTTAAATATTCATGTTATTGTTTTAAAGGTGTAAACAGGCGGCTTTGGGGCTGGAGCAGACTGACGGCGATTTTGCACGTGTGCACAGCCCCTCTCCCCCGGCCTCCCTTAAAGGCTTATTTTCCCAAGCAGCCCGCCTCCCTCAGGCCCTCCCCACCGTGCAAGACTGTGTCTCTTTAAGGTTCTGATGTGGCTGAGATTGGAGTCCCTAAGTGCCAGCTTTAAAGCTCCTGAGTGCCTTATGTTTGAGTCTTTTTTCACTTTAAAAATATAGCAAGGTATAAGTCATGTTGTAAAGGAACTTGAGTCCCCCAAATTCCAAATTCCTCTCCCCGCCTGTTTGTGTGTGTGTGTGTGTGTGTGTGTGTGTGTGTGTTTTGTTTTTTTTTTCTATTCTTTGAATAGGGAGTAGAGTAGGAAAATAACTGGATGTCTCGTGAGTTGGTTTTTGTTGTTCTTGGTAGGCGTGAGGCTGTTGCATGCGAGGCATTTTGAGAGAAAAGGACTTGTTTTTGTTCCAGACTCTTCGATGTCGACGTGCTGTTGGACTTTTCTAACTCAGATGGCTTCAAAATTCCATCTCCGTCACTTGCTTTTTGCTCTCCTGCCGGCCTCCTTTTGGACAGGTTGTGTTCTTGGAAAGTTGCACAGTTGTAGCTTTTCAAACCACACTTCTTGCTCTCCCAAATGTTTTTTGTAGAGACGGTTTGGATTACTGCCCAAACTCGGGCTTTGTGAGATTTATTTAAATGTGATGTCCTTCCCAGGGGGTTGAAAACTCTTATAAATGGGAATTTAGTTTTTGATCATACATTTTATAAGGGAAACTGACCCTATAACTTTGGATGTCTATAATTCTATGCCCAATAAAATATCAGTCGGGAGGTTTGAGAACACATGTGAGCTTTTGGGTTAGCCCCAAAGGTTTCAAACTTGGAAGTGCTTGTTCCAGAAATTTCCAATGGTACCAAATAACTAGTGATTTAGTACAACATAAGTTATCATTTTAGTTCTGCAGTGAAAATATGCAGTAGCATATTTTGTCAATGATGTGTGTGTACAAGTTAGTTGAGCAGATGTTTGCTTTCTAGGAACTAGCACTGCAGTAAAATGTTACGCCACTCTTCAACCCTGTTGTGTTAAACAGCCATTCCAGTTTTCAAGTTGTGTTCTTTAGTGAGATTACCTGATAGTTTTGTATACTTCTGGCTCAATTTTCTAAAATTGAATTTACCATCATGAAGAATTTCGTCAAATGCCTTTTCATCAGTGTCCTTTTCCTGCAAAGTATTTAGTATTTATTTTTCTATGTGATATAGCAAAGATATCAGAAAAGTCACTTTAACAGAACATCTAATTTCTAAATCACAGTGCTTCTGGGTTGACAGATGAAGTGACTAGATGTTTTCTCATAATGCTTCCCACTAGAAGCATTTGTGACTTTTCAAGATGGCACTGTCATGTTAACCAGCTGTCCCGTAGTTCCATCTTCAGAGGGACTAGAGGCCCAGTGCATGAAATATGTACATGGGTAGGTCCCTAGCAGCTGCCGGCCAGGGCCTCCCTTCATTCCACGCCACCCCATGGTGGTCAGCGCAAATCATAGCAAGCAATCAAAATCCTGGTCAGTCAAATTCCTGAGGGGACACTTTGCATAATGGGCTTATATATATATAGACTAGAGGCCCAATGCATGAAATTCGTGTGCGGGGGGGGGGGTGTCCCTCGGGGGGGGGGGGGGTGTCCCTCAGCCCAGCCTGCACCCTCTTCAATCTGGGATCCCTCTCACAATCCAGGACTGCTTGCCTGCCTGCCTTCCTGATTGCCCCTAACCGCTTCTGCCTGCCAGCCAGATCACCCCTAACCACTCCCCTGCTGGTATGATTGATGCCTGGCTGCTCTCCTGCCAGCCTGTTTGCCCCTAACTGCCCTCCCCTATAGGCCTGGTCACTCCTAACTGCCCTCTCCTACATATCCCCCTGAATTGCTCTTCCCTGCAGGCCTGACCCCCCCCCCCCCAGCTGCCCTTCCCTGCAGGCCTGGTTGCCCCCCAGCTCCCTCCTTTGCTGCCCTGGTCACCCTCTAACTGCCCTCCCTTGCAGGCCTGGTCCCTCCCAACTGCCCTCCCCTGCTGTCCACCTTGTGTGTTGGAATAATGGTCAATCTGCATTTTACTCTTTTATTAGATAGGATAGAGGCCTGGTGCATGGGTGGGGGCCAGCTGGTTTGCCCTGAAGGTTTTCCCTGATCAAGGTGGGGATTCCCTTGGGGCATGGGGCGGCCTGGGCAAGAGACCTATGGGGGTTTGCAGGCCAGTCACGCCCCCCTCTCGGCACACCCCCCCCCCCCCACCCAAGCAGAGGCCCTGGTATTTGGGGTTTATTTATTCTACAATTAAAACTTTAGCCGAAACCGGTTTGGCTCAATGGTAGAGCATCGGTCTGCAGATTGAAGAGTCCCGGGTTCGATTCCGGTCAGGGGCATGTATGTTGGTTGCGGGCACATCCCCGGTGGGGGGTGTGCAGGAGGCAGCTGGTCGATGTTTCTCTCTCATCAACGTTTCTAGCTCTCTATCTCTCTCCCTTCCTCTCTGTGAAAAATCAATAAAATATCAAAAACAAAAACAAAAAAAACTTCAGTCTAGAGCAGAGCCAAGCCTTCTGCTTGCTCCATTGGCAGCAGCCATTTCTGTTGGGATTTCTTTATCTTCTATAATTGAAACTTTGTAGCCTTAAGCAGAGGCCTGGGCTGGTCAGGGTATGTGGAAAACTTGGCTTCCTCCATCGCGGGGGCAACCCTAGCCTCCTGCTCTCTTTATCCGTGGCTGCCACCATTTCTGTTGGGATTTATCTTCTATAATTAAATGTTGTAGCCTTGAGTGGAGGCCTCTGCCAGCCAGGGTGTGTGGAAAGTTTGGCTTTCTCCATCTCCAGGGAAACCCAAGCCTCTCTCCTGCTCACTCAGTGGCTGCAGCCATCTTGGTTAGGGTTAATTTGCATAATCACTCTTGATTGGACAGTGGGCATGGCTGGTGGCCTTGGCTTGTGGGTGTAGTGGAGTGATGGTTAATTTGCATATTACTCTTTTATTAGATAGGATGCTTGTGATGGTATAGTCACTTTAAAAAATTAGTTTATGCCTCACTGTGACTGAACTGTTATAGCTTCAGATCATCATTTCCCAGTGGTCTTATTGATTTCAGTCCTTTTCACATTTACTTTTCACTTTCATGTATTCATTTGATTCTTGGCAGATACTAGTGAGAAACCTTTTAATGGTGTCTTTGTGTTTGATGATGCTCAGGTCTCTCTGTGAAGAAACCACTGGACTAAGAGAGGGAGGAGAGGAAGCCCAGCTGTGAGGTGTGTACACCCAAGAATCATGTCTACACGGGAGTCTTTTAACCCGGAAAGTTACGAATTGGATAAGAGCTTCCGATTAACGAGATTTACTGAACTGAAGGGCACTGGCTGCAAAGTGCCCCAAGATGTCCTGCAGAAATTGCTGGAATCCTTACAAGAGAACCACTTCCAAGAAGATGAGCAGTTCCTGGGAGCGGTTATGCCAAGGCTTGGTATGTGAACCATTGTTTCTCTATTTCTGTGAGTAAAGCATCTTGGCTGCAATATAGTCAGGGTGAAAAAACAGACATCTCTTCTTCCATGTTGCCTTTAAAATAATTTTAAGAAAGTTTCAGAGGCCCTAGCTGGTTTGGCTCAACGGACAGAGCATCAGCCTGCAGACTGAAAGGTCCCAGGTTTGACTCTAGACATGGGCCCATGCTCAGGTTGTGTGCTTGATCCCTAGTCGGGCATGCAGGAGGCAGCCAGTCAATGATTCTCTCTCACTGATGTTCCTCCCTTTCTCTCTCTCTCCCCCTTTCTCTCTCTCTGTCTCTCTTCCTCCTGAAATAAATAATAATTTTTAAAAAAAGAAAGATTCAAAGGATGAAGCATGATACTTACGTTATTATAATTTTTGGAGGAGTAAGTACTTGAAAATCATCAAGAAATGTGCCTTAACCATTTATAAACTATTAAATACACGATTGGGACATATTACAGTAAAAGCATTTTTTATTAAATTGACTTTACTGGTTAGCTGAGTACGGTATTAAGCAGAAACTCCTTGCGTGTTTTGACTGGGTTGAGGAGGGTGGGTTAGGGCAGTTCTCAATGTGCATTGCTTAAAAAGTCCCTGTAGGCAGGAGGGAGAAGAAAGCCGTCCCAGACACAGAGGGAAGAAGCCAGGCCTGAATCTTTACTTGACCCCAGATGTCATCTGGAATTGAGAGCCATGTTGTTTCTTTATTGAATTCCCAATGTCGTCAGTGGTTTGCCTTTCCCAAACAGAGGTATTAAAAAGAAATTCTGAGTTATTGGGATATTGTTTGTTAGCTTTTGTTGTGTGGTTTGTCAGTACCACACAGAGTGATGCAAGACTGATCACTTTGCTATTTGAATGTTTGGTGTATATTCTAGGAATCTGGATGTTTTGTAGTTCGAGTGTGTGACTTGATCCGCTTTCTTATTTTCTTATCATATTTATTTATTTTATTTTGTTAATCCTCATCTGAGGATATTTTTTCCATTGGTTTTTCAGAGCGTGAAAGAGAGGGAGAGAGGAACATTGATGTGAGAAAGAGGCATATCGATTTGTTGCCTCTGGCACTTGCCCTGGGGACGGGGAGCAAACCACAATTTGGGTACTTGCGCTTGACTGGAATCAAACCTGAGGTCTGCTGCTCTAACCACTGACAAATACTGGGCCAGCTTTCTTTTTTATTTTATTTATTTTTTTAAAGCTGCTGAGAGGCCAAGTAAAATGAAGTCTTGAAGAGAGATATTTGCCAGTGTTTTTACTGCATTTTACATATCTTTATTGATTTTGACAGATGGGGGGAAGAGGAGAGAGAGAGAAATCGATGCAAGAGCAACACATCAACCAGCTGCCTCTTGCATGTACCCTACTAAGGATCAAGCATGCAACTCAGCAGGTGCCCTCACCGGGAATCGAATTGGTCATCCAACCAACTGAGCCACAACGGCCAGGGCTGATCAGCTTTCTTGCATAAGGTCGCATGTGTGTGTGTGTGTTTTAGATATATTTTTATTGATTTCTGAGAGAAAGGGAGGGGGGGCGGAGAGAGAGAGAGAAAGAGAGAGAAATCAATGACAAGAGAAAACCATCATTCATCTGCCCCGTGCACGTCTCCCCACTGGGGTTCGAGCCCATAATCCGAGCATGCGTTCTTGACCAAAATCACACCCAGAACCCTCCATTCCACAGGCCGACACTGTCCACTGAGAAACCCAGCCAAGGCCTTAAATAAGGTTTTTATTTCACCCATTATCATATTGTGAGTACAACATTGGTTTCAACCGAGGGTACTCCTTTCTTCCCTAATATACAAAGTATATAAAAGCAGAGTGACTTAGATTAGGAGAGGAAAGCTCACAGCCCAAACTCTAGGGACCTCAGGACTCCCAGGAGCTCAATTTGAAACATCCTCAACTAGCTGATGTCTGAGTGTGTAGAAATACTACATGAGTGAATTGGATTGGATAATAGCTTACTTTACAAGAAATAAGAATACAAATAGTTCCTGATTTATGATGGTTCATTTCATTTTTATTTAATGATGGTACAAAAGCAGTACACGTTCAAGTAGAAACTGTACTTGGAGTTTAAATCTTTTCAAAACCAGGCTAGCAATGTGCTGTATGATGCTCTCTTGTGATGCTAGGCAGTGAGCCACAGTCACAGTCAGCCAAGATATCACACAGGGACACAACTGATACTCTACATTGTATTCATTGTGTATGTTCTAAGCATGTTTAAGGTAGGCTAGGCTAAGCTATGATGTTCTGCATTTTTGACAGGATGTTTTCAAGTTACAATGGGTTTATTGGGATGTAGCAACATCATAAATTGAGAAGCATCTGTATACTGAAAAAACTCTTAAATAACTTTGTCAAGAAAAACAAGTTGCTGAATGGGGCAAAAACAATGCAATTAAAAACCTTGTGGATAAAGTAATAATTTCTTTTTATAACTTTCCTCTGTTGATAAGTGCTTTGATAATGAGTAGGGATAGGATCATTTGCTCTGTTCAGCAGCCTCATGATGCTTGGCCACGGCCCAGATCCGAAATCCACATCTTCCCCTTCCCCTGCCCTCTGTCATCTGGTTTCTAAGTCCAAACGTGTTCAAAGTGGGCAGAGGAGCTGGACCATCTATAATCCTTAGCAGCGGCAAAAGGGGACAGATGACACCAGCAAGGGAAGGGGCAGGGAAAAGAACACAAAGGCGATGGGCTTTGGTCACATAGGGATTTTGAGAAGTAAATGAAAGCTATCCCCTTCCCAGAAAAATGCACAGCCACAAAATTTGCCTTTATGGCATTTGATAGGTGTAGCTGTGGGCCCTAGGTTACAAGCAAATAGATGCTAAAGGAAGCATAGTATTAAAATCGAGTATATCTTGTGGTATATCTTGATGGCATAACTTTCCTTTGGAATCATATCTAGATTTATATCCTGACACAGTCACTTAATAGTCACTAATGTTACTCTGCATGTTTTTAATCCTCCTGATGCCTCAATTTCCTGATCTATACATTGGGATAATAAATTACTGTACCAGAACTTGTTTGTACAGGCACCATGTATTATATATATATCTACGCATGTATGTTTGTTTATAATTTCATGTATGTATGAATGTTTGTCTATAAGTTCATCCACACAAATGTGCTTGTTTGTTTTTAAATTTTTTTCCTAAAAGTGGTCATATTTCCTGTATTCTAATATGCTATTAATTGTATTCTAATATGCATACATTTAACAACAAACCATACGTTGTTGTTAAATGTATGCATGTTAAATGTATTCTAACTAAAGAAATGTTCAAGTAAGTGTATCTGAGAACCTGGTACATCTATTTATTGTCTGGCACTTAAGAGATATCAAATATTCATTCTTGGTGACGGTATGATGATTTGGGTTTTCTTGATGGATGTTTTCAGTCTTGCTGAAAAACTAGAGTTCCCTGTTCCCCACTGATAATTGAATATACACTACTCAGATTGGTACTTGAGAAGCTTCCTCCACTCCTGGCATTTCCCTTTGTCCCCCCCCACTTGCCCTTATCCTGAATTGTCCCTCTCTCTTTCACCTTGATATTCTATCTAGTTCTTTCAGGCTCACACTTTCTTCCTTCCTAGAATTTATTAGGTGATTTGTAAACCAGTTGCTGTCCGAAAGAAACATGTAAACTATATGTGTAATTTTAAATTCTCTAGTAGTCACATTTAAAAAAAAAAAAAAAAACAGAATTAGGTGAAATTCATTTTGATATATTTCATTTAATCATATAAAGATATTTCAACAATTAATATAAAACATGAGATTTGGGGTTTTTTGATACTAAGTGTGTAAAATCTGATAAGTATGTTACACTTACTATGCAACTCTTATTTAGAATAAACACATTTCACATGCACCATGACCACATGTAGTTAAGTAGCTTATGAAAGAAGAAATGGGGATAATGTGGACATCTATTCAGCTCTCAGAAAATGCTCATGAGTCATCAGTTAAAATGTTCTGATGCTAGTTATAAATAGAAATTTAAAACTTTACAAATTAAATATATGTAATTCAAATTTAAGATTACTGAAATTAGAAACATTTAAAGCTAACATTCAGCGACTTTTTATAAAAGAATGTAAATTCTGTAATGCTTTGAATAAATTATATCTTCAAAAAAACCCTCACAGAAAATAAATACATTTTTATTGAGAGGAGGGGTGGGGGGAGAAATTGAAACATCAATAATGAGCAAGAATCATTGATCAGCTGCCTCCTGCACATCCCCTACTGGGAATCAAGCCCCCAACCTGAGCATGTGCCCTTGAGCGGAATCAAACCTAGGATCCTTTAGTCCGCAGGCCGACACTCTATTACTGAGCCAAATTGGCTAGGGCTCAGTGACTGTTTTTAGTGTCTATTTCTGAAGTCCTATAGTGTATGTGAAAACTTAAGAAAAACTATACTAATTTTTATTTTTTTAATTTATTTATTTTTTTAATATATTTTTATTGATTTTATACAGAGAGGAAGGGAGAGAGATAGTTAGAAACATTGATGAGAGAGTCATCGATCAGCTGCCTCTTGCACACCCCCACTGAGGATATATATGTCCGCAACCAAGGTACATGCCCTTGACCGGAATCGAACCCGGGACCTTTCAGTCCCCAAGCCGACGCTCTATCCATTGAGCCAAACCGGTCCCGGCAAACTATACTAATTTTTAAAATAAATAATAGTACACTCGGAATGACCAGTTTAGGGATAATCAATATGTTAAATGTGATTCTTGCTCTATTTCCACTTAAATGCTAAAGAACAGTTGTTAAATGAAATTTCTGAAAGTCTATACATATACACGGTTTAAATGAGTCATTGCACAGATTCTTGTCTAATACACATGAAAACCAATCATTGGTAAAATGGGTTCCATTGTCACATATTTATGAGATTTGCCATTCTGAAACTAAATTCTTTAACAATTTCCCATCAAGAGTTTGCTGGGGCGGGGGGGGGGGGGGGGGGGGAGTCAGTCTGTCTTCAGTGTTTGTGACTTTTTAATAAAATTTATTTTATTTTTGCATTAGTAATGATGGACCAAGATCTGGGGGGAAAAGTGCTCCTCTATCCTGCGCTCTGTTAGGTATACTGCTGTGGTGATGCTGAAATAGTTGTGCTTCAGCATTTTACTTATGCACAATATGAATGGTACAGAAGTCCTGGTTTCATTTGGTTCAATGTGAGTTATTCTTGTTTCCTTCGGAATTCTAAGCTGAGAGGGTGGCATTCCCTTGCTACCTTTTGTACTTCATCCTGCCTTTTTCATCTGCCTTTTTCTTTGGTTGATGGACTGCACAGGTGAAGTCAGAGCAGCCGGTATCCTTTTGAGAGAGGTGTAGGAAAGTTCTGTTCAGCCTACTTGGTGGGAAGGCCAAATTGAATTTGTAAAATGCCTGCATTACAGATGATTTTTAAAAAAATATAACTTATAGGAGCTGGTCTTGGTGATTTCTAAACTAATTTCAGGAAAAAAGAATTATACCTTAGCCCATCAGTTATTTATATTTTATTCTAAATGTTTAGCAACAATTTTAATAAATTGAAATACTTCAGACAGGTTTTTTAGCGCACACCCCCCCTTCATATTATAAATTAATAGAAGTGACATATGTAAGGTTTCCTCTTTAACCCTACCAGACCGCTGTACTGATTTTTCGGTAATTTCTGAATCTGCTGCTATACCGCTGTACCTAATTTTCTGTACTTTGCCTAGTATGTGAAAAAAATGCATCACAAACTAAATATAACCAACCAATTGTGGTCAAATCTCATGGTTAGCCATTGCAAATGTCTGCTCCCGTGTATTTAAATTGACTTTGTGTGGTTTGACATGAAAAAGTTCTGAAAATTCACAATGAAACGAGCGGCTGATGAACCAAGCACTTCAACAAGAAAGCGAAGTAGGTTTAGGCTTATCACAGTCCAATAAGTGATCAATACTTTGGTTGATTCAGACTTTGTGGAGTCAGAATTTTATCAAGAATATGTTTCCAGTTCAAGTGACACACACAGTGAGAGCTTGAATCTTGAACCTGATAGATCTAGAGCTAGATTGATAGTAAGAGAAGGGGGCGTGTCCCTCAAACTGCTGATGCGGGAGATCTAGGTGGTAATGAAAGTTGGAGAAGGAGTTTTGTATTACCAAATGCAGATGTGAATTTCATTGAGGATGAAAAAGGCCCAGTGAACATTCCTGGATCTATCACAGAGGAGAGTGAATCGATTGACTTTTTATCCTTGTTTTTGGATGATACTTTCTGGTAAAATTTGACAGAAAACCAGCTTCCGGGCCCACCAATTGCATATAGCAAAGCTCAACTCCAAAAATTTCAAGGATGCTACATTAGAAGAAATGAAGGCTTTTCTTGGACTGAGGATCTATATGGAATACTCATGTATAAAGCCCAGCTATCAGGATTATTGGACAAATGAGGGCTCTGTCTTCCTTGGGTTTACTCCTGGATTTTGAAATGTTATGATTCGAGACAGGTTCTTGGCCCTTTGGAGTTTTTTACACATAATTGATGAGGAAGACACAGATATCAAAAAAACAGAATTTATAAAGTTAGGCCTTTCTTGGAAAGTCTGCTCCCCAAGTTTTCCACTTCTATCTGCCACAGCAACATTTGAGCCTAGATGAGGGGATGGTCCCGACAAAAAACTGCTTGGCCATCAAGCAGTATATCAAGGATAAGCCCACAAGGTGGAGCATCAAGTCTTTCCTTCTCTGTGAAGGTGAGACTGGCTATATTTTGAATGCAGAAATCTACACTGGTGCTGCACCAATGCCTATAAAAGACTAGGGCCCAGTAGGAAATACAGTCGTTTGTCTCCTGACCTCATGTGCAATGGAAAATAAATCTCATTTGCTTGTCATGCACCGGTTCTACAGCTCTGTAACCCTTGCTAAATATGCACTGTCAGAATTACACACGGGAATTGTGGGAACCCTGCAGCAAAACAGGAAACAGTTTCCTATGTCGCTGAAAAGTGTAAAAAAAAAAACTTGCTAAGGGTGATAGTCGCTATCTATGTCATGAAAGTAACATGTTCAGTTTTGCAGGATAGAAAGCCCACCACATTTATTTCAGACTACCATGATCCAGCCCAAATGTAGTAATAAACAGAAGAAATGCAGATGCCACAGCTGGTGAAGGACTATCATAAATATATGGGTGGCTGTGACAAAAATGACCAGATGATCCACCTTCACCGGTCTCGTCATTACTGCTGGCCCCGGTGGCTTTTCATAAAATTTTTTATGTGGGCCAGTTATAATTCTTATATCTTATATTCTTCAAAGCAGCAAACTACTTCAAAAAAAAGCCAGTTTATTTCACCGAATATATTCAGAAACTGTGCCGGCAACTTATTGGTGGATACTTGACATCAGCCCACTGCCACCCACAAAAGGAACCCTGCCCTCAATGGATGACCCCAGCCAATCATTTTCCAGAGATTCTCCCTGGGACATCGTCTGATCATATCTGTGTTGTGTGCATGGCAAAACACTCCAGGTACAACAAGCAAAATCCTGGAGTGTCTTACAAAGACAATCGATGCAAGAAGGTGAAAAGCAACATCTGGTGCTCACCTTGCAAGAAGTACCTCTATGTGAAACAAGGCTCTTTCTGCTGGGTGGATTGGCACAAAAAGGTGGAATATTGGCGCTAGATGAAAGGTAGACCTATTTTCTACAATGTCTCCAAGTTCCATCTTATTCTAACCACTTGTTTGCATATAACTAACATTTTTCTATATCATGTTGATTTTTCTCTTTAATGCTCAGGAGCCCAGGTTAGGTTCAGGGCCTCAGGTCTGGTAGGGTTAAACATGCTTTTAGATGCTGCAGTGTTTACGTACTTGCTTGGTTGGAAATGATGGATTCCTATTTTGGCTTTGTCTTCCTTTTTTCTAATTGTTTTCATGTTTGACTAAAATGGGGAAGTAATATTTTATGTGGGTAATATATTTAACATATTTTCTGTTGGGAAAACAATAATGCCTAAATTAAATCAACCATAGATAAAACAACCCAAGCTCCATTTACGCTATTCGCATCTTTAAAGAAATTCTATATGGTGCCTGTCACATGATATAGTAATACAAAGGAAAGAGTCTGTTCAAGGCACAGTTAAGGGCTAAAATTAGAGCATATTGAACGTGAGTCTTCAAGTCTAACAAATTTTACTCTCCTATCTTTAGCTAGTTATGTTTCACATTTGTTTCAGTTATCCTTCTTGATAGGAAACACATTGCTGTATTGGCAGCATGCTGTAAATATCTCATACAAAACTCTCCTATTCAGAACACTGATGGCATAAGATGAAATGGCGTTTCCTATTGACGTGTGAATTATAACTTCCATCTTTGCAGGCATTGGGATGGATACTTGTGTCATTCCTTTGAGGCATGGTGGTCTTTCCTTGGTGCAAACCACAGATTACATTTATCCTATCGTCGATGACCCTTACATGATGGTAAGTTTGACCTAATATGTTTTTAATCTCGAACTGCTGTTCAATTGGTTTGGGGTTTTGGCTGGGGTTCTGTGTGTGTGTGTATGTGTATGTGTGTGTGTGTGTGTTATTTTTGTTATATTCAAATTATTCTTATCCCACCACTGATGTGACTCCTGCAGTTGCAACCATTTGATCTATTTCCTGTTCACCCTTTGTACTGCACATGAGCAATTAGGCAGAAATCCCTCGGCTGCTTTTGTGCAAGAACACCTGCTGTCTACTAACAGTGTCTATTGACTGGCATGTTTGTAATTTTTTTCTTTCTTTGATATTTGTAAACCTCTCATTCCTGTGTTTCCAGCCAGAGATGTGCCATACCCTGTATAGGTCTAATCCTAGATGCTTCCATCCAGAATAGAGCTCATCACAATTTAACTTCTTGACTATTTATTTTGATTCTAGGCATTCTCCTCACTCCCAATTGTGTTTTGTACTCACTGTGTAGATTTGTCTGAACTGCTGGATCCAAGTTCCTGTGTGCCAAGGGCACTGGGATCAAACTGCACACATAGAGACTTGGGCCATGAGGCAGCTAAAAGGGAGTGGGGGTGAGGTGCCAGTGACAGGCACACAGGTTAATAGAAGCCTTTTTCCCTCCACACATCGATCTGTTCTCCTCTAAAGTAGTGTTCCTGAGAGACTGAGGTATGCCACAGCCCAGGTGTCCAACCTGAACAGGTGGCAAAAGTAGTTTGAATCAGAATTCATCCCATTTCCAGCATCTGCTAAAAGCATCTGAGAGAACCCAGAACAGAAGGGGCAGTAAGTCACTGTAGCTCTAACCAGCACTTGGCACCCAAGCTGTAAACCACTTGTTGCCTCAGTTAAAAGAAGGTACAAAAATTTCTCCATCCAAGTGTATAGAAATTATCTTCTCTATAATCAGTAAAGTTCACTTTTCTTTAGAATATGTTTAGGATAAGTGGCTGTTTCCAAGTTTTCTTTCAGGCACTTGTTTTTACTCCACAGCTCTTCCTCCCAGACTGTCCCTCCAACCTTGCTCCCCCTGACATCTTCCCACTCCCCGTTTTCCATCTAAATAAACTGTCTGAAAAATGGAAAGTGTCTGAAAAAGAAAGGTGGGGACTTGAATAACTTGGAAAAATGAATGGCTTAGCCGAAACTGGTTTGGCTCAGTGGATAGAGTGTCGGCTTGCGGACTGAAAGGTCCCAGGTTCCATTCTGGTCAAGGGCATGTACCTTGGTTGCGGGCACATCCCCGGTGGGGTGGGCTGGGGTGGGTGTGCAAGAGACAGCTAATCGATGTTTTTCATCGATGTTTCTAACTATTCCTCTTCCTTCCTCTCTGTAAAAAATCAATAAAAAATATATATTTTTTAAAAAATGAATGGCATAGTTGTTCTATAATTGAGGATAGTAACCAGACTGCAAATCACAGAAACAGGACCCCATACCAATAGCCGTTATTCCTGGAAAGTACCGGGTTCTCTTGGGAAGTATTCCGTAGCTCCCTTTGTTTCAACAAATGGAAAGTCCCCGTCCTCCTCTTGCCCTTTTTCATGTTTCTGCTTTCTTCCAGGGCAGGATAGCATGTGCCAATGTACTCAGTGACCTCTATGCAATGGGAGTCACAGAATGTGACAATATGCTGATGCTCCTTGGAATCAGTAATAAAATGACCGATAGGGTAAGTAGGAGATGGGCCAGCTGCTTACTCTCTGTTGTCTTGGTCACTTCGCTTGGGTGGTCAGCCCTTCTTTTCCCATCTGTAAAGTGAGGAGCCCAGGCTGCATGGCTTCCATATTTCATCCTAGTCTCCACTTTTTGCAGTTACTAGTGAATTAAAGTAGTCTGGCCTATTCATATTTTCATTTCCACCACCTGCTTCCCTTCTGGGTAAACTAAAGCCAAGACATTTAGGTTTGTTTTAAAATCTAGGCCACGTAATAGCACCTTCATGCCAGGCCTGTGGACTGGACCAGCTTTATAGAGCCAGGGCATGCGGCCCCCCAGGGGCCAGGCCCTTTGGTTGCTAGTTGGGCATTGATGTAAGACAGTGATGGAGCTGGGGTGTCACGTGTGTTCCCGTGCTTACCTGGCAGTATCTATAACCTTGCTACCTGTACCTGTTCTCTAACCGAGAGATGAATTCTCTCAGATTATTTTTGAAAGGTACTTGATTTTGTCCCCCAAAAGAAGTTTGTCCTGCCTCTTAGAGAGTTTTCTGTAGGCCCTTTTCTGCCAGCACAAATGTGCATTTGAGCCATTGTTTGTATACACGCCTCTGGGGGAGGGTGGTGGGTATATATTAAAATGAGTCTTGGAGTTCTTAAGGACCATTTAAAGAGTTGGCTTAGATTTTGGGTAGCCCTGTGCACCCAGTCACATTCCAGTTTTTATTTCTTTGTTGTCCAGGCTTCATTCACATTGTAACCTAGAATATCTTCCAGCTCTTGATAAAATGGCTAGTGTAAACTATTCCATCTCCCTTATTCCCTGTATAGTCTGTGAACTTTAAGAACATCCATTAGGGTTTCATGATCCTCTTTATAACTACAGTGTACTCTTTTCTTGGTTTTGAACTGAATTATGTGACTTTTATTTTGTGTCCTTTTAAACCCTAGGAAAGGGATAAAGTGATGCCCCTAATTATACAGGGTTTTAAAGATGCAGCAGAGGAGGCAGGAACATCTGTAACGGGCGGACAAACAGTGTTAAACCCTTGGATTGTTTTGGGAGGAGTGGCTACAACTGTCTGCCAGCCCAATGAATTCATCATGTAAGTTGGTTTTGTTCCATGTCACCTGACCTGGTTCTCTTTCTTTTCTTAAGATAGATTCATTGAGATATAATTTGCATACTATAAAATTCACCCATTTCAAAATATAGTTCAATGGTCTTTGGTAATATTCACAGTTTTTCAACCAACACTAGAGATTTTAGACATTTTCATCACCTCAACAAAAACCCCTGTCCTGGCTTCTTTTACTTTACATAATGTAAGCATAATATTTTTAAGGTTCATCCATTTTGTGGCATGTATCAGTACTTTGTTTCTGTTTTTGAAAGTTATTAGTATTTTTAATTGAAATATACATATAGCAAAATTTTATATAATATAAAACCCAATATTTTAAAGTATAGAATTCATTTGTGTATGTGTGTGTGTGTGTGTGTGTGTGTGTGTGTGTGTTCACAAGATTGTGCAACCATTATCACTATCCAATTCCAGAATATACCAATCAATTTTTCCCCCCAACCCCATAAAGAAAATCCCATATCCATAAGGAGTCTCTCCCAATTCCCTCCTTCTTCCATTCTCTGGAACCACTAATCTACTTCTTATCTTTGGATTTGTCTATTCTAGGCATTTCATATAGATAGAATCATATAACATGTAGTGTTTTGTGTCTGGCTTCTTTAGGCATACATGTTTTCAACTTTCATCTATGTTTTAGTATGTATCAGTACTTTATCCATTTTTATGGCTGAACTAGAAGCCTGGTGCACAGAATTCGTGCATAGGAGGTGGTGTTCCTCAGCCTGGCCTGCACCGTCTCCAATCTGGGACCTTTGGGGGTGTCCCTGCGAGATTGGGCCTAAACTGGCAGTCTGACATCCCTCTCACAATCCGGGACCACTGGCTCCTAACCACTCGCCTGCCTGTCTGCCTGATCACCCCTAACCACTTCTGCCAGCATGATTGCCACATAACTGCTCCCCTGCCAGCCTGAGAGCCCCTAACTGCCCTGTCTGCCCATCTGATGTCCCCAACTGCCTTCCCCTGCCGGCCTCATGGCCCCCAACTGCCCTCCCTTGCCAGCCTGATTGCACCTACCCACCTCTGCCTCAGCCCCCACCACTGTGGCTTTGTCCAGAGGAAGGAAGTCAGACATCTGGAAGATGACCACATCTGGTCATCTGATCTCATTAGCATATTACTCTTTTATAAGTTTAGATAATGTTCCATTGTATGGACATACCACAGTTTATTCATAGGTGATAGATCTTTGGGTTATTAATACTTACTTATGAATGATGCTGCTATGAACATATATTTTGATTCTCTTCGGTATATATACCTAAGAATTACTGGGTCATGTGGCAACTGTTTAACTTGAGCAACCATCAAACTGGTTCCCAGCAGCAATGTAGGAAGATTCCAATGTCTTTACATTCTCTCCAGTATTTGTTGCTATTTTTATTTTATTTTTTAATAATAGTTATCCTAGTGGGTTGAGGTGATACCCACGGTGGTTTGATTTGCATTTCCCTGGTGGTTAATGATTTTGAGCACCTTTCAATGTGTTTTTTAGGCATTTCTAGGTCTTTGGAGAAGTTTCTCTCTTTTTTTTTAATTTTATATAAATATATTTTATTGATTTTTTACAGAGAGGAAGAGAGAGAGATAGAGAGTTAGAAACATCAATGAGAGAGAAACAATGATCAGCTGCCTCCTGCACACCCCCTACTGGGGATATGCCCGCAACCAAGGTACATGCCCTTGACCGGAATCGAACCTGGGACCTTTACACTCTATCCACTGAGCCAAACTGGTTTTTCGGCAGAGAAGTTTCTCTTAACACCAGTCATCACTTCCCATATTTCATATTCTTGTTAAGAAAAGCCACCCTATTCTATTTTCTGAAGGAAGTACAAACCCCGTTTGTTTCTCTGATTTTGTGAATAGGTACTGTGTTCACATGGCTCAGAATTCAAAAGGTATAAAAGGCTTTACATGTAGTCCCTCACTCATCTGGCATCACCAGTTTCCCTTCCTGGAGACAACCATTTGACCAGTCTTCAGTAATCCGAGTGCCACGTATGAAACTTACTACTGGTCAGTCTGAGTTTGAAACTTTGATGCTGAAATCACCAAAACATTAGGCCCACAATTTGAGCCAAATCCCACACCCTGAGAAACAATCTGTTTCTGAAGTCTTATTGCCTTTGAAGCATGGGTTTGTCTGTATTGAAAATTTCACAGCAGCATGGCAGAATCAGGCCCTGATCAGGCCTTTTGCCTTTGAAGGCTAAGTGATTTGCTTCTTTATATATATTTTTGGAGGGCTGGATCTAATAGATAATTGGCAGACTCTTCTATTCTCTTTCAATGTTTTTGTTCCCATAGTAGTAGTAGCTTCAGTGGCAAGTTGCAAGGCTGCGACACTATGTTGTGGTGGCTTAAATGTAAGTGCTTGCAAATGTACTGTTTTTTCCCCCAGCTTTTTCTTGCTCCTTTTTAACTGATGATGAGTTTACCTCCTTGGTTAATTTGGCCATACCATGCCCTGTTCTTTTTTTCAGGCCAGATAATGCAGTGCCTGGGGACGTGCTGGTTCTGACCAAACCCCTGGGGACGCAAGTGGCCGTGGCTGTGCATCAGTGGTTGGATATTGTGAGTAGCCATTCCTGCAGGGGGCGAGGGGAACTGAATATAAGTTTTGGGGATTGTGGTAGTTTTCCTTGTAGGATTTGGAGAAAAGGGCTTTCATTTGCATTCAGATCACGTGTCTCTTTAAGATGTATCTGCTCCTGGAGTAAGTGTCACTTCTTATCCATACAGGAAGCCCTTGTTTCAGGTCTAGCGCTTCTAAATGTCACCACTTGTTGTCTAAAAAAGGAACTCCTTTAGTGTCACTACCAGGGAGTTTGGTGTCAGTCACGCCCTTATGGAAATACTAGGAATTGTCCATGGTTTTGTTTTTTATTAAATCAGAGTATCGTGTACTGAATACTTAAAGGAGGTACATAAGCCCCAGCTTGGGGCTTTAATGAAGCTTCATAAAAAGAATTTGTGAGACAGACTTTAGTTTATTTGGTGCTGAAATAGTAACTCAGAACGTTAATAAATAATTATCTTGTAGAAAAAACCTCTAAGCCAAAACCGGTTTGGCTCAATGGATAGAGCGTCGCCTTGGGGACTGAAAGGTCCCCGGTTCGATTCCGGTCAAGGGCATATACCTTGGTTGCGGGCATATCCCCAGTAGAGGGTGTGCAAGAGGCAGCTGATCGATGACTCTTTCTCATCGATATTTCTAACTCTCTATCTCCCTTCCTCTCTATAAAATCAATAAAATATATTAAAAAAGAAAAAAAGAACATCTAAAATACACAGACATTTATCTTGAGTCACTTTTCTACTGATCTAGAATCATAATTTATTTAATATTTTTCCCATTGTGATTACAACTCAAAAATTAATATGATTTGTGGTATATCTCACATATCTTGGTGCTTTTAATTTCTACAACTATCAACTGAAACTACCAGTCCTGATAAACAGTTAAAAAAGAAAAACAATTTTATGTTATTCATAACTAAGTATATGTTGGGTTGATAAGAAGAGTAGAGAAAATCTCTAAGGCTGCCACAGTCCAGTCATTTTTCTGTTCTCATCCAGTGATGATGGGGAGATTTCCCATCAAGTATGATCACCTGTAAATCTAATTGGAAGGTCATTACAGGGCAATGACCCACAGAGTTGCTTTGCAGTTCAACCACTCAGATCTGAGTAATTCAGCAAAGCAATCAGATACAGGTGTGGCAGAAGGGCAAAAAAAATGTCCCCCAACCTGACACCTCCTTTGCTTTTGTACCTTGTTTTTTTCAATTTTGAGCATTAAAAAAAAGTTCCAAAGACTATGTATCAGCACAATACCCTTTTCATAAAAATCAGAAGCAACCAAAGAGCATATTGTAGGCTTCTGTATGTATGAGAATACTATTTTTTGAAAGAAAGGGGAATGATGAGTATAAAATTTATAATAGTTGTTACCTCTGAGGAAGAGTTGAGGAGGAGTGGGATTGGGGAACAGCATATGAATAGACTTGTTACTGCATTTAGTGGTAGACTGTTAGGTATCATTAAAAATAAATGAATGCATGCATGAATTATGTCCATTAATGGACCACCATGACAATCTATCAAGAACCAGTAATCATGCCCTGGCTGATTTGGGTCAGTGATTGGACTATCGGCCCACGGGCTGAAGGATCAAAGGTTCAATTCCTGGTCTAAGGCACTTACCTTGGTTGCAAGTTCTCCAGCCCTGGTAGGGACATGTGTCGGAGGCAACCAATCTATGTGTCTCTCTTAGGTTGATGTTTTTCTCTCTCCTGCTCCTCCCTTCCTTTTTCTCTCTAAAAAATCAATGGGGGAAAAAATCCTCTGGTGAAGATTAGAAGAGAAAAAAAAGAACCCATAATCATAATGCTGACTTCTTTGTAAATCAACTGGAAAAAGGGAACACCTTTTTCTCCTTCCTTTTATGATCTATCCTTTGTGGTCACGACAATTGTCCTTAGTGCTAATGCAGTTGAAGTTGCTTTCCCTGTTCATTTGTCTATAAGATGCCCTGATCCAGAATTAGGTAAAGTCAACAACAGTATAATTACATGAAAAATAAAGCCGTCAGATTTATAGGAGAGATGGAGAGGCAAACCAAAAGGCATTCAAAGCTATTCATGTGAGATCTACACCCTACCACAGAGAAGCTGCCCATGCAATACTTTTTATTGCATGCGTACTGCAGCCAGATGTCCTACTGCTTTTACTAGCTAATAAATTGCAGTATAGTATTTGACTAGAGAAATGTGGGTCAAGAACACAAAAGATACCTCAATGATATGGCTATTGGACACCTAAAATAATAGTTATTTGGGGAGGGGGGGCTGTTAGAAAATTTAATTTTGCACACAAAATTAGAAAAATAAAATTCCCTATAGGTTGACTAGAGAAAAATGGGCTTTTTCTTTCAGTCCTTAGAAGTAAAGGTTAATCACATTCTTCTGCCCCCCTCTTTTCTCCCTCACCTATGTTCCTATATTAGCCTGAAAAGTGGAATAAAATTAAACTAGTGGTAACTCAAGAAGATGTGGAGTTGGCATACCAGGAGGCGATGATGAATATGGCAAGGCTCAACAGAACAGGTATTGGGGCGGAAGGTTGTCTGTTGCAGGGGTTGGCAAGTTTTTAGAACAGAGTCAAGATGGGAAATATTTGGCTTTACAGGCCACATACAGTCTCAGAAGACCATTCTTAGCTGGAGGAACAGATAATGGTCTAGATTGGGCCAGTTACTGCAAATCCTCCTGTGTTGGTGCCTGGTTTTTGACACATTTGGGTTTGAGAGTAAGTTATATGTGTTTGAGTTTGAGTGTGTGTTATATGTGTTTCCTTTCAGCCAAAGGGGTTAGACAGGATCCTATTCAGAGGATTATTAAAAAGAAAAAATGTCAATGAAGTATCAAAAAGAGTGACTAGCATGTGGTGTACAAAGTTCACTCAATTTCTATTTCATGAGTACCTATAATGTGTCCTTCACTCCTAGTGCTAGGGAGACTGCAATGAACAGACAGACAAAAGTGGCTGCTGTCTTAGAGCTTACATTCTAAAGGCTGGTTTGAGCCTGGCCGTGGTAGCTCAGTTGGTTAAATGTCCCATGCACCAAGAGGTTGCTAGTTTGCCCTAGCTGATGTGGCTCAATTTCTGGAGCATCAGCCTCCACACTGAAGGGTTGCAGGTTCGAATCCTGTTCAATGGCATGTATCTGGGTTACGGGTTCGATCACTGCTACCTGCAGGGGCAACCAATCCATGTGTCTCTTACATCAATGTTTCTCTCTCTTTTTCTTCTCTCCCTCCCCCCCCCCCCCCCCCTTCACTTTCATCATTTCTACAGAGAAATGGGGAAAAAATATCAGATGTGGACTAACCAAAAAAGGTTGCCAGTTTGATTTTCAGTCAGGGTACATGCCTGGGTTTCTCTCTCATCAATGTTCCTGTCTTCCTCTCACTTTCTCTCTCCCTAAAAAAAGCAATAAAACATTAAATTTAATTTTTTATCTTAAATATGTTTTGTTTATTTAGAGAGAGAGGAAAGGAGAGGGTGGGGAGAGAGAGAAACATTGATGAGAGAAAAACTGATAGGCTTCCTCCTGCACATCCACTACTGGGTGTGGAGCCTGCAACCCCAGCATGTGCCCTGATCGAGAATCAAACCAGTGACTGCCTGGTGCATGGATTGATGCTCAACCATTGAGCCACACTGGTTGGGCTCAATAAAATATTAAAAAATATTAAGGCTGGTTTGTTTCCTAATTATCTGCACAGAGCAACCCACACATGTGTTTCTCTGAGAGTAAAATATGCTTAAGGAACAGTAATGTAATACCCACGTGCCCACCTTCTCATATGAGAAACACAGTGTGGCCTTGGAAGCCCATATGTGCCCCTCACATCCAGTTTGTAGGTTCCTGCTTAGGGGTGACCACTGTTCTGAATCTAATGTTTATTCTCATGCTTTTAAAGTTTTTATCACATAGACTTATATTCTTAAGCAATATATTAGTTTTGCATTTTTTGCTTCATTGAATCATACCTGTATCTGTTTTTCTTGCATTCAATGTTTAATGTTCCTGAGCATCATTCCTGGTGTGTATACCTATATTTCTTTCATTTTCCCACTGTGTAGTTTTCCACTCTGTGGCTTGGCTCTGCTCCAAGCTACAAAGTTTCAATTGTAGAAGGTAAATAAATCCCAGATACCAGAACCTCCGCTCTGGTTGTCGGGAGCATGGCCGGACTGCAAACCATCACAGGCCCCTCACCCAGACTGCCCCACGCCCCAAGGAAACTCCCACCCTGATCTAGGACACCCTTCAGGGGAAACCAGCTGGCTTCCACCCATGCACCAGGCCTCTCTCTTATCTAATAAAAGAGTAATATGCAGATTGACCATCACTCCAACACAAGATGACTGCCCCCATGTGGTCAAATATCCTGTCCCCATGTGGACACAAGATGGTCAGCAGGGGAAGGCAGTTGGGGGCAAACAGGCTGGCAGGGGAGCAGTTAAACACCAATCAGGTTGGCAGGCAGAAGCAGTTAGGGGAAATCAGGAAGGCAGGCAGGCAAGCAGTTGGGAGCCAGCAGTCCTGGATTGTGAGAAGGATGTCCCAGATTGGAGAGGGTACAGGCTGGGCTGAGGAACACCTCTCCCATCCCCTGCACAAATTTTGTGCACTGGGTCTCTAGTTGTTTTGTAAGTTTGACTGAAATTTTTTATGTGATTTTCTATAGGTTAGAAATTTTAACTAAAAGAAGAGTACATCTTACAAATCCAAACCACTTTTTTTTTTATAAGTCGCCTAATATATATATCAACTTAATGACAAAACCACATGGAGAGGAATTATATGAGAGAATCTAAGTAAAAACTGTAATCTTTAATTTGGAATTATCAGTATAAACTCAGCATTCTTTTCCCCTTTAAAACGCTTGTTGCTCTAGCTCAGTGGTCAGCACACCACGGTTCGAGAGTCACATGTGGTTCTTTAGCCCCTTGAGTGTGGCTCTTCAATAAAATACCACATGCAGGCGTGCATGTACAGTGCAATTGAAACTTCATGGCCCATGTGCAGAAGTAGGTTTTCAGCTCTCAAAAGAAATTTCAATCATTGTACTGTTGGTATTTGGCTCTGTTGACTAATGAGTTTGCCGACCACTGCCCTAGCTGGTTTGGCTCAGTGGATAGAGTATCAACCTGGGGACTGAAGGGTTCTGTGTTTGATTCCAATTAAGGGTACGTACCTCGATGGCAGGCTCAATCCTAAGGCCTGGTCAGGACTCCTGCTGGATGCAACCAATCGATGTGTCTCTCTCACATCAATGTTTCTCTGTCTCTCCGCCTCCCTTCCACTCTTTCAGAATCAATGGAAAAATATTCTTGGGGTAAGGATTAACCAAAACAAGCAAACAAACAAACCAAAACAACAACTTATTTCCAAGTCTATCTAAAAGGCCTAAAGCGATGATAACCCATTAGTAATGAATACCTACTGCCATCATTCTGATCTGAAAATTATCATTTTCCCCTAAAAAATGCCAGGACTCCTTGGGGAAATGACTGATTCTAATGGAAGTACAAAAGATAAGCCGAGGGCATCCTGTGCCTGGAAGTAATAGTGTTATCAGCAGCTGTTGTTATCATGTCACTTCACATAACTCAAAGAAGCTCCCACCAATCAAATTGGAGGGGCTGGACAATGAGCATTAAGAAGAGTGACATAGTTAAGTATATCAAGGATCTAAAAATCAATGCCAGCCGAAACCGGTTTGGCTCAGTGGTAGAACGTCGGTCTGCCTACTGAAGGGTCCCAGGTTCCATTCTGGTCAAGGGCATGTACATTGGTTGCTCGCACATCCCCGGTAGGGAGTGTGCAAGAGGCAGCTGGTTGATGTTTTTCTCTCATCGACGTTTCTAGCTCTCTATCTCTCTCCCTTCCTCCTCTCTGTAAAATATCAATAAAATATATTAAATAAATAAATAAATAAATAAATATCAATGCCATCATAGAGATGAAAATGTTTTTGGTCACATTTGGACACCAATTTGTTCTGAAAACAAAAGGAATCAACCACACATTTTACTGTTCTTGTATAGGCTGTGCTTTGGGGAAAAGCAAATACATTTTTTTAAAAATTCTTTATAGAAGAGTCACATCTAATAAGTGCAAGAAGAATGATTGAATTACATATTTGCTTTTTTTTTTTTTTTTTTTTTTTTTTTGCTATCCCTTTGATGTGGTAAACATCAGTGGCAGCTAAAACTACAGTCATCTAGACAGTGTGATATTGGTGAAAGAACAGAAAAACATATCTAGCCTTAGCTGGTTTGGCTCAGTGGATAGAGTGATGGCTTTCGAACCAAAGAGTCTCGGGTTTGATTCTGATCAAAGCCACGTTCCTTGGTTGCAGGCTCTTCCCTGGCTGGGCCCCTGGTCAGCGTGCGTTCAGGAGGCAACCAATTGATACGTTTCTCCCACATCGATATTTCTCTTTCCTCTTTCTTCCACACTCTCTAAAAATGGAAAAATATCCTCAGGTGAGGATTAAATATATATAATCTATAGAACAGACTAGAGTCCAGAAATAGACTTCCATAAGTATAGTTAATTAATCCTTGACAAAAGAGCAAAGGTAATTCAATGGAGAAAGGATCATCTTTTCAACAAATGGTGCTGAAACAATTGGACATCTACAGGCAAAAAATGATTATAGACACTGGGTTATAGACCTAAATGTAAAATGCAAAACTGTTGAACTCCTAGAAGATAAGAAAACCTGGGGTTTGATGATGCCTTTTAGATACAACACCAAAAGTACTATTTATAAAAGAAAAAAACAAGTTGAATTTCATTCATACTAAGAACTTCTGCTCTGTGAATGACACTAAGAGAATAAAAAAACAATCCACAGACTAGAAGAAAATCTTTGCAAAACACAATTCTGACAAAAGACTGGTATTCTATGTCATTGGGGAAATTGCAGTTTAAAACGATACTACTACGTGCCTGCTTAAAAGCCTAACACTGACAATACCAAATCTGACAGCAATAGGAACTCATATTCCTTGCTGATGGGAATGCAAAATGAAGTAACCACTTGGGAAGCCAGTTTGGTGGTTTGTTACAAAGCTAAATATACTATTATCCAGTAGTTGTGCTCCTTAGTATAATATTTACCCAAATGAATGGAAAATTTCTGTCCACTCAGAAATCTGCACAAGTTGTCTGTCACAGCTTTATTTATAATTATTAAAACTTTGCCCCTGTGGGTTTGGCTCAGTGACTGGAGTGTCAGCCTGCGAACTGAAAGATCCCAGATTCGATTTCAGTCAAGAACACATGCCTGGGTTGCGGTCTCAATCCCCAGTGGGCGACTTGCAGGAGGCAGCCAATCCATGATTCTCTCTCATCAAGGATGTTTCTATCCCTCTTCCTTCCTCTCTAAAAACAATTAAAAATAAAATTAAATCTTGAAAGCAGATCCTTCATTAAGTGAAGAGATAAACTGGCTCATCCAAAAAATGGAATATTATTGATAGCTAAAAAGAAATGAGCTGTTACATCATGAAAAGATTTGGAAGAACCCTACACATATTACTAAATGATAGAAGTCAATCTGAAAAGACCAAGCACCATAGTTTCAACTAGATGCCATTCTGGAAAAGGTAAAACTACAGAAAGTAACAAGATCAGTGGTTAGCAAGAGTAAGAGAGGGATGAACAGGTCGAACACAGGATTTTTAGGGCAGTGAAACTTCTCTGTATGATAATATAATGATGGATGCAGTTTATATATGCATTTATCAACACCTGTAGACTTGAAGAGAACCCCAGTGTGAACTATGAACTTTAGTGAATGTATTAGTATTGGCTCATCACATAGCAAATTTACCACACTAAAGGTGAATATTAATAATAGAAGAAAGGGGATATATGGAAACTTCCTGCACTTTCCACTCAATTTCCTATAAACCTAAAACTCCAAAAACAGAATTTTTTTTAATTAAAAAAAAATTTTAAAAATTGGCCTGGCTGCCGTGGCTCGGTTGGGCATTGTCCTGTGCACCAAAAGGTTGCCTGTCTGATTCCTGGGTTGTTGGGTTGATCCCCAGTAGGAGGCATGCAAGAGGCAATTGATGGATGTACTCTTGCACCAATGTTTCTTTCTCTCTAAAAATTAATTGTGCTTTTAAAAAGTCCTCTTCTGCCGGGACCGGTTTGGCTCAGTGGATAGAGCGTCGGCCTAAGGATTGAAAGGTCCCGGGTTCGATTTCGGGCAGGGGCATGTGCCTTGGTTGCAGGCACATCCCCACTGGGGGATGTGCAGGAGGCAGCTGATCGGTGATTCTCTCTCATCGATGTTTCTAACTCTCTCTCTCTCTCTCTTCCTCTCTGTGAAAAATCAATAAAATATATTTTAATAAAATAAAATAAATCCTCTTCCTTGATTTTAGGGTAGCTTAGACGGGCTTACCTTTTGTTGTGATTGTAATTTTTCCATACAGATTTTTTAGCTTACTAAGAAATTACTATTAATTGAAGCCGCTGATAGTCCTAAATGGTTGAAATTGAAATAAACTAGCTTTCACAGTTTCACTGTGGGTTTTGTTGATATTTCAAAATTAGATTTTTATTTTGATATACCATCTTCCTGACAATTAGGAATTTTGAGATCAAAGTGTATTTAAGATTTTTCACTTGAGGAATGGTAGGATGATTTTTGTTGTTTGCTTGTTTTCTCAGAAAGTCTCCATTTATTACACCAGATAATAAATTTCTTTTCTGGTCTCTTAGCTGCTGGACTCATGCACACGTTCAATGCCCACGCTGCCACTGACATCACTGGTTTTGGAATTCTGGGCCACGCACAGAATCTGGCTAAGCAGCAGAGGAACGAGGTGTCCTTTGTAATTCACAACCTCCCTGTCCTGGCCAAGATGGCTGCTGTGAGCAAGGCCTGCGGGAACATGTTTGGCCTCATGCATGGGACCTGCCCGGAGACATCAGGTACAAGGATCCTGGGCCCAAATCTGAGGATAAACTAGTGAGGCTAGTGGAAAATTTCATGAAAAAGAAGAAGCCAAATACATGAGCATGACCCTATTTTGTGTGAGGTCAGTGCTGATTACCTTGGTGGTCTTGGCAACAAATGTTCTCAGCCCCTTTGGGATGTATGTCTGTACGTTACCAGTCTCCGCCATCGGGGTGGTGGAGCAGTCTTGTTTAAGTCCATTGTTTCCTGTGTTTGGTGACAGAAAGTCACTATTCAATTTTCATTGGAAACCTAGCATTTAAAATAACATTTATAATAATCATAGGTTACACTGAACAGGCTGTTTTTTTTCCATGGGGGAAAGAGTCTAAAATTGCTCTAACAGGGAAATAGTATAGTATGCTTCCACAGTGCCACTTTTTCCTTTGACCCGTTTTCCCCCCTTTCCCTTTCACTCTTGTATTTTATTCTTTAAGTCATCCTTTTTTTCCCCAGTCTCCTGTTTTTATTTTCTTTCCTTGATAATAGTAAAGTAAGTTTTCTAAATGCATGTGTTAAAAATTGACGAATTTTAGTTTACCTGTTTTTACAGATTTTTGTAACTAAAAGTATATATGTAAAGTTTAACAGCAAAGTTTTCTATATGTATTACAGTAATTTTTAATTTGTAGTATGTCTAGTGAACATGTACATTGACCAGTCACTGCGAGTAAACAAATGCTCACGGCTGGAGCATATCTTAGCACACATGGGAACATTGGCTCCAACATGTTAAAACTACTGGGCTGCATACATGAGTCAGGAGATCACAGTTTGCTTCCAGGTCAGGGCGCATAGGTTGTATGCTCGATCTCCACTAGGGGGGTGTACAGGAGGCAACCATTTGATGGTTATCTCTGGACATTGATGTTTCTATCCCTTTTTTTCTCTCTAAAAATTAATAAAACCATATATTTCAAAAACTGCTGTATAAAGTCATGCTACGTGCTATGCAGTGTGATCACATGCTAATCATTCACCAAGTGTTTATGAACTATGACTCTTGGATTTCAATATGTAGACTATAGTTGTAGACATGTAATATTTATTTATGTTAGTGTTTTTCCAACATAAGACCTACTCACAAAAATGTGTTTAAAATAATAGTGAATTGCCCTAGATGGCTTAACTCAGTGGATAGATCATAGGCCTGAGGACTGAGAGGTCCAGGATACCATTATGATCAAGGGCACATGCCTGGGCTGCAAGCTTCGATCCCCAATATGGGGCATGCAGGAGGCAGCCGATCAGTGATTCTCTCTCATCATTAATGTTTCCCTCTCTCCCTTTCTTGAAATCAGTAAAAAAAAAAAAAAAAAATTTAAATGAAATAAAATAATAGTGAATAACACACACACACACACAAATGTTAACTTAGTTATAAGCAAATCTTGGTTTTAAAGCATTTTAAAGTTAACAGAATGTTAATTTTCACATATGACATATGGACCAGAAGTTTTGTCCCTTAAATCCAAATCTGTTAAGTCAAGGTCTACAAAATGGAGGGTTTATTATACCTCAGTAATTTCCCTCTCCTGGCAAGAGTTGAATTATCTAGGGATTGCGCGTGCCCAGCCATGGCTGGTGTGGCTCAGTTAGTTGGAGCATCATCCCATTTACCAAAGGTGGCGAGTTTGATTCCAGATCAGGGTCCTTACCCAGTTTGTGGATTCCATTCCCCAGTCAGGGCAGATGTAGGAGGCAGGCAGTTAGTATTTTTTACTTTGGTGTCTCTCTGTCTCCCCCCACCCCCTCTCCAACCCCCCACTCTTTTTCCCTCTTCGACTCTCTCCCTCTCCACCTTTCTAAAATCATTTTTAAAAAATTAAAATATGCCGAAACCAGTTTGGCTCAATGAATAGAGCATCGGTGTGGGTACTGAAGGGTCCCGGGTTCGATTCCGGTCAAGGGCATGTGCCTTGGTTGCGGGCACATCCCCAGTAGGGGCTGTGCAAGAGGCAGCTGATCGATGATTCTCTCTTATCGGTTTCTAACTTGCTATCTCTCTCCCTTCCTCTCTGTACAAAATCAATAAAATATATTTAAAAAAATTAAAATATTGATGCATACCTAGAACCAATCCCTAGGAAACCCAGTTCAGTCAGACAGGGGTGGGCCTGGTCATCAATAATTATAACAGCTTCTCAAAAGATTCTAGAGCAGCCAGAGGCAATGACCACGAAGTCCTACTCACACGTCAGTCCTGTAGAAGAGTTGTGGTTCTCTGGTAAGTCTCTCAGCTGAATAGAAGATCCCGTCTTAAAGGAAAAAGCAGTCTGCTTCCTCTTCCCATAAGTGGCCTACGGTAACCTCTAAAAATGGTTCACTAGTCACTTCTCCCAGAAAAACCCACAAAATCATGCAAATTAAGAGATTCAAATCTTCATGTTCACTTTCCATAAAGAGTGCTGAATTTTTGCCACACATACTTGAAAGTGCAGAGAGTAATGCTGAACTTACTGGTGTAGATGTGGATTCTCTGGTCATTGTGCACATCCAGATGAACAAAACTCCCAAGGTGGGGTGCAGAGCTTACAGAGCAGATTGTTCCCAAACCGGAAGAGGAGGGTGCACGGGAGGAAAGATATCCCATAATATCTGAGGAGACAAAGAGTTAGGGCCCGGCCCTGGCTGGGTGGCTAAGATGGTTGGATCAGAGTTCTGTACACCAATAGGTGGTGGGTTCAACTCTGGGGAAGGCACATACGTAGGTTGTGGGTTCCATTCCCAATCATACAGAAGGTAACATTGATGTTTCTCTCTCCTTTCCTCTCTAAAAGACAGTAAAACATACTCATGAGGATTTTTTTTTTTTAAGGAAACTTGTTTTTAATACATTTTTATTGATTTCTGAGAAGAAGGAAGGAGGAGAGAGAAATACAAGGATCAATGATGACAGAATCATGTATCAGCTACCTCCTGCATACCTCCTACTGAGGATTGAGCCCGCAACCTGGGCATGTGCCCTGACCTGGAGTTGAACCGTGACCACTTGGTTCCACCGGCCAGGTGGAAGCTTATGTTTTTAAATATTTCTCTGTGGTAGGAGAAAATAGCTACCACGTATGTTATTGAGGCCTCAAACACCTAGTACTACACAGCAGTGATTCACAAGTGATTTTTACAATGTAAAGTAAGTTATTGTGTATATGTTTTTTACTATAGTAGAAGTTTTCCAAGAAATAGTTTAATTACAGTTTAATTTGGAATAGATGAAGGCAGAACTGTACAGGCTTCATTGGAAGGGGCAACTTGAAGATAGAAGTTCTTGGTTGAGCGTAGATCTGTGCAAGATTTTTTTGGAAAGATAGTGACGGAGAAACTGCTCACAGGGCATCACAACTAATGATAATCATTTTTTCTTTGCCAGGAGGCCTTCTAATCTGTTTACCACGTGAGCAAGCAGCTCGGTTCTGTGCAGAGATAAAGTCTCCCAAATATGGTGAAGGTCACCAAGCATGGATTATTGGGATCGTAGAGAAGGGCAACCGTACAGCCAGAATCATAGACAAACCCCGGATCATCGAAGTCGCACCACAGGTGGCCACTCAAAATGTGAATCCCACACCTGGTGCCACCTCTTAATCTAGACCGAAATAGCTATTTGGTTTTGTTTTTAAATAGATCTATTTCCTTTATCATCATTTCAATTAAAGACTATAAACAACAACAAAAAAATCTCATTGTGTCTACACATTTGGTGACCTGAGGTCTATTTGTGAATGGATGCAATTAATAAGATAAAATCCATTGCCTTTTTTTCCTGTTACATTAACTGAAGATGCACCTAATCTTGAGGCAGCTTCTGAGTTGAGAATTATATTGTTATCCAATACTGTTGATTCATTTTGAATCTTTAGACACTTCTCTCTTGCCGCATAGGCTCTTTTTAAAGGTGCTTTCCCATAGCACAGGCATTACCAGTCGTGGTGTCAAACTGCAGTTTGTGTCTTTGATTTCATGTATATTTATCATCAGTTTGATCTTTTTTAAGTGTCTCGAAAGGTATTTGGGAAGATGGAATTGGTGGCACAGTGGTATCCCAGTAGGAAGAAGGTTGCATGATTCCTTTGAGTTTTTGATTTGTAAAGCCTCGTCTTGTAATCCAAGAACATCTCTTTGACCCAGGATATTTCCCAATATGTATTCAGTGAAACAAGGTGGGTGCTTACCTCTGCATGGAAAGCACTTAGAAGATAAAAAGGAAATTGTCTTTCTTTTTTCTTTTTTGTAGCCTTCCTAATATTTACAGTAATATCACTAACTGCGTTCTTTATCAATAGCAAAAACGGGATACTTTTTGCAATGTAATTAGATGTCCTATAGTGCAGCAAGAAATTGCCTTCTAAAAGGGGGAAGGGTTCCTGTATAATATTCATTTACAATTCAATATATAATTACACAAATAATTTTTAAATAGAATCAATAATAAAGACTGTTCTGTGGATGGTAGTGCTTAATACATTTTATATTTTGTATAGTGATTTCAGGCCTCTTGTTTTCTTAAAATCAGCAGCTATTTAACCTAATTCTGAGCATTACTTTGTCCTTTGCGCCAGAACTATTTGTGCACGCTTTTTGTGATGTGTTAAAAATCTGCATTGCCAACATTGCAGCTCGAACTTAAACTTGTTATTCAAGTAAATATTTAATTTTTGTAATTGCTCTTGTATAATCAGATTCCCCTTTTAGTATTATTTTAGAAGCATTGGGAGGGTTTTGGCTAAAGTACAATTTATTGGGGAAAACTAGATTTTAGTTTTATAAAACTTTTAAGTCTTTCATGGGACCTATATTTTCTTGAATTAAATTTTGTAGTTCTAGAAAAAATAGGCAATCTAAAAAGGTGTTTATCTGTGTTACCTAGAAGCATAGGCTTCCTTATATTGTAACCTACTAAGCGATCTGGAGGGATTCCTGTCATTAAGCACAAGTGCACTGACCCCCCTCAAGTGTCTGCATAAGAGAACAAGCACCACACCACTGCAAGTTTCCAAATGCTTCCTACATACAGGCCCCAGAGCCCTGGAACCCATCAACTTCTTGCCAAAGGAAATCGCCACTGGGGAGAGAAACCCTGGAAGAGGCTTCACCATGGACACTCCCCCATTTCGGGAGCCCAAGAGCAGCCTGGCTGGCATGTGTTGCTGGAGCTCAAGCCATAGAACGGTGTGCAGTACCTGAGAGGCTGCTACAGAACTGAAGTTAATTGGACATTTTATAGGGATTTATACAGATGTTGGTCCTCAAAAACTACAAACCAGTAGTCTGCAAAATAAAATGTGTTGGGAACCTCTGAGATGAACATGCTGTCGATTTTTTTTTTTTTTTTTTTTAATTACACTAGCGATGCCTAAATCTGAACAACTGTCAATGTAGACCAGGTCTTGAAGACTGATGGTGGCAGGCCTGCTGAAATCAAGATATGCTTGAGGAAATCATCTTTGAGAAGATTTATATATATGATAAAATGTTGGGTACTTAGAGGTTGGTGTCATTCGCCTGTGTTAGAATTACTTGGGGATTCTTGTCAAAGGCAAAATCTTGGGCTCCATCCCAGATCTGCAATCAGTATAGGGAGTATGGGACTAGAGACTCTCTTAAGCACCCCAAGTGGCTATGTGCACTAAAATTAGAACCACAGGACTAACGGAATGGTGCAGAGGGCTGGGAAAGGCAAGGGAAGGAAGGGAAGGAAGACAAGTGAACTTGTTCTTAAAATAACTTTTCCAGGAATTTTTCTTTTTCATCTTGACCATTTTGTTTGCTGACATCTGGGCCCAACAAAACCAAAAAGCCCAAGTGTCTTAAAAGATCTTTGAAGAATTAGGTGATTGTCATTGAGTATTTGTGGTCATAGTATTTGATAAAATCTATCTAGAATATCTTTACATTAAGTGAGCTATTAATCAATAGATAATTATCTGGCTTCCTGGAAGCACTTTTACACTTCACATTGAGATGTGTTTATCTTGGTGTAGGGATAGATTTCCTTTAAGCCCTGTGATAGTTGCATCTAAAAGTACAGTTTGGCCAAAACCAGTTTGGCTCACTGGATAGAGCGTTGGCCTGTGGACTGAAAGGTCCTGATTTCAATTCTGGTCAAGGGCATGTACCTTGGTTGCAGGCACATCCCCGGTGAGTGTGCAGGAGGCAGCTGGTCGATGATTCTCATCGATGTTTCTAGCTCTCTATCCCTCTCCCTTCCTCTCTGTAAAAAAATCAATAAAATATATTAAAAAAAAAAAAAAGTACAGTTTGTTAGAATGCAGAGAATAAGTGAATGCAGCCTGAAGAGGCTGGGCCCTGGTAAGGTCAATTTCTTAGGCAACAGGAGTTATTTGCCAAGGAACATTATAGTTAAACTTATTTGCTGTGTAAGAGCATTTATTGTGATTCAGTTCAGGAAAAGAAACTAAAATACTGTACAAGCAATATGTATTTTCTCTTATTTTTTTATCCTTGGGAGAGTATATGTTTATTGGTTTTTGTTTGTTTTTTAGAGAGAGTAAAGGAGAGAGGAACATCAATTAATTGCCTCCAGTATGTTCCCCGAACCGGCAACCTGAGTATGTGACCTAATCAGGAATTGAACCTGCCATCTCTGTGTGTATGGTAATACACTCCAAACAACAGAGCCACACCAGCCAGGGCAGCCCTAGAGCATAATTGGCTAAGACTTTAAAATAGATCAAATCCACAGTTTTCTTACCAATGCTCATGATTATTGTAAAGTGGTTGAAAAACACAATTTAAAAAATTAAATTACTGTATCTGTAAATGGAGAGTAGAGATGGTTGCCACGGGCTGGGGTTGGGGGGAAAATAAGCAAATGTTGGTCAAAGGCTATAAACTTTATTGTAAAAGATGAGTAAATTCTGTACAGCATGGCAACTGTAATAACATATACTTGAAATTTGGTAAGGGGGTGGATCTTAAAAGAGTTCTCACCATACACACAGTTAACAGATGGCATGTTAATGTGATTATAATTTTACAATGCATACATATGTCAAATTATTTCCTTGTACACTTTATATATAATTTTAGCAATTACACCTCAGTAAAGCTAGGGAGGAGAAAATATATATATAGCCTACTACTCAGGAAATTGTGTTTTTGAAGAATATTAATGGTAAAATTCTTATGCTATAATACAAGGCAAGAAAAAGATACCAATTTTATAAAATATATATATCTGTGTATTCCAAGTATATATGAGTGGAGAAAAATACATGAAAATTTAAATTACTTTTTCCTGGAGACTAGGAGCATGAGTGAATTTGTTAAAATTATGTATTTTGTTTTTCCACGACATATGTATTGTTTGATCACAAAACACTGAGCCATTTAAATATTTGTTATATATTTAAATATATTAATATGATTAATGGAAAAATGAAATACACATAAAGGGCCATGGAAGCACAAAATTTTCTTGGGAGACAGATAGGTCCCTTCATTTTTTATTTTTTTTTAATATATTTTTATTGATTTTCCACAGAAAGGAAAGAAGCGGGATAGAGAGCTAGAAACTTCAATGAGAGAGAAACATCAACCAGCTGCCTCCTGCACAACCCCTGCTAGGGTTGTGCCCGCAACCAATGTACATGCCCTTGACTGAAATCGAACCTGGGACCTTTCAGTCCACAGACCAACGCTCTATCCACTGAGCCAAACCAGTTTCGGCCCTTCCTTCATTCTTGGGCAGTTTAGCTTTAGGACAGAAAGCCTTCTTTCCCCAGCAGGGTCCCTGGTTCCACCTCCCTCCCCTCTGTGCACACACTGCCTGTGGAGGAATTCTTTGTGCAGATTGTTAAGCTCTCACCAGCTACTTACTGCCTTTCTCCAACTAGCTGTGAACCCTCTGCTACCACGAATGCTTGCCTGCACCCCCTCTATTTTCCCTGGTAGACAGCCTTGCACAAATTAGGTCCTTAAGAAGCGTCTAAGGTTGTTGGTTGACTTCATGTGGTGCTAGATAACTTACCTGAGTCCTCTTGACATTTCTCAATCCAGACAATTCATTTTATCTCTTCATCTCTCAGATTATACATATCTCTTCGTTCCTAGTTCAGGCTGAAAGATTAAAAATCTTTTTGTGCCGGGACCAGTTTGGCTCAATGGATAGAGCGTAGGCTTGGGGACTGAAGGGTCCCGAGTTCAATTCTGGTCAAGAGCATGTACCTTGGTTGCGGGCAGATCCCCAATAGGGGGTGTGCAAGAGGCAGCTGATCGATGACTGTCTCTCATCGATGTTTCTAACTATTTCTCTCCCTTCCTCTCTGTACAAAATCAATAAAATATATATATATTTTTAAATCTTTTTGTACCATACATTATCTCAGATTTCCACCCTTGTTTTAAATATGGCTGACACCATGGCCAGGCCCGGAGCAGCGGCTGCCAGGCTGGGAGCGGCCAGGCCCGGGGGAGCAGCCAGGTCGGGTGCGGCCAGGCCCGGAGCAGCAGCAGCCAAGTCCAGAGCAACTAGGTCGGGAGCGGCAGTGACCAGACCCGGAGCAGCTGGTTGTGGAACGAACCAGAGCAACAGAGGCCAGACCCTGAGCAGCCAGGCCCGAAAC